TTTCCAGCAACCAACTCTTAACGCACAATTCTTTGTTGAAAAGCGGTTGCGGCCCGGCAGGGAAAGTGGGTTGGAAGTTGGTTTCCGGAAACCGAATCTGAACTAATAATTCTGAGTTAAGAAGTGGTTTGAATCTTGTTTCTTGGCAGAAACAACCTTTCAACCAACTTTCAACTAACTTTAAACCAAGTATTCTTGTTGAAATTTCCGTCTGGGTAGGCAACGCGCAGCACACACCACCGCCCACTCGTCCTACAAGACCCAAAAGCACACCAAAATTTAGTGCTCAATTTGTGCTTGCTGAGCCTTGCTTCTCTTTACTTAATTCTTGTAAAATTTGATTTGTACACGCGTTTCAAATGCGCGGAGCCAGCGTCATGTGGCAAAAAGTCTTTATTTGTGCTACATCTTTACGGCTTCAAATCTGGGTTCAATTTTGAGCGCCGCCTGATAACGTCAGGATCGCAAACATGTTGCGTGCCTCAATAAACGAATTGCTCAAAGGTCTTCAATTTATTTTCACATGAAATTGTTGAGAACTGAAATTTTTTATGAACATAATATAAGAAAAGTAAAACATGGCACACAACTGAGTTAGAAAATGTGTTTGTATAATAACATTATTTTTGTTCAATTAGATATTCTAACATAGTTTAGAAACATATGAACAGTCAGATTTGTTACAAGAGGTCAGCTCCCTCTGTACACGAATTGTTTATCACTGATATTTTTCATACATATAACATAAAGAAAAGTTAAATATGGCACATAATTTGGAACATCTTAGTCTTTAACAACTGTTTTTTTCTAAAGAAAATATGTTTATTTGTTACAATTTTTGTTCAATTAGATATTCTAATATAGCTTAGAAAGCTACTGACAGTCAGATTTGGTATATAATAAGAGGTCAGCTAAAACTTCCGTGTCGTCTCTTGTGAAAACTGCATTTTTAGCAGATGATACGCAGTTATCGTCAGCTTGTACTCTCGTAAAGTTCAAAGCGTCCGCCAGTTAAAGCGTACAGTTGAAAGTTCGCCAGTTAAAGCAGCAGAAACGCGCAAGCAGTAGTCCAATGTATTTAGGCAGTGGGGCTCTCGTCTGCCCGTGCCCGTGCCCGTGCCCGTGCCCCCGTCCGTGCCCGAGTAGTGCTGTTCAGGCCTAGCAGCTGCCACGCAGCCCTATGCGGCTCTGGTCGTCGTTCTCCGGCCGCCTTTTAACGACCCGCCGTCATAAAAGGGAGCATAAAGCACTGGGCCACCGCGCCCAGCCAAGCCGTCGCCGTGTGTGTGTGTGTGTGTGTGTGTGCGTGCGTGCGTGCGTGCATGTGGTGCTTGCCATGCCACCCCGCGCCACGCCAACCTTTAACACTGCCGCGTTCATTGGTGATGCGTTCAATAATGATGCATTCAATGTCGGCGCGCCCAACGCCGGGGCGTTCAACGCCTGCGTGTTCAACGTTGCCGCTGACTTTTCGCGGCCTGAACTGCCGCCCCGCTATCGCTTCACACCCCAGCCACATAAAAACTATGGAGCTATGGCGTCGGCATTTCAAAGGGCCTAAGGGGTTGTCACCCTGGTCCAGAGCTCAGATCAGTTTGCTCGCCGCGCCCCGCTCGCCGCGCCACGCCATGCTCACCGCGCCGTGCTCACCGCGCCGTGCTGGCCGCGCCCGGTTTGCTGCGCCGTGCTCGCCGCGCTACGCTCGCCGCGCTACGCTCGCCGCGCTACGCTCGCCGCGCTACGCTCGCCGCGCTACGCTCGCCGCGCTACGCTCGCCGCGTCCCGCTCGCCGCGCCCCGCTCGCCGCGCCCCGCTCGCCGCGCC